CCTCTGGGACAGGCAAGATGTTAAAGCTGGGCTTTCCAGCTAGGGTTGCCACCCACCCCTAGAAAAACGTGGTCGTTCTTTTTCTTTCTTTTTCAAGAAAATTGTCCCCCATCCTGTTTGGACTTCAAACGGGATGCCCCTTTTCCTGTATTCAAGCTCATCCTTCTCATCCTCAAACCTACGTGGGCAGAAGGTAGGTCCAGTGGGAGGAGGAGAGCGTGAGCCTGAGTGGGAGTTTGTGAGGGAGAGTTATTGCAGGACACAGGCAGAGGATGGGGTGGAGCTGCAAGGAGGAGTTTGAGAGACAGTTTTTGCCTAGGCAGATGGTGGGTCACAGAGAGCAAGAGAGGGGGTCTGCAGTGCATGGGCCTGCTATGGTAGAGTCTCAGGTTTTGCATGTGCAGAGGGGGCAGCAGGTGGGTCGGAGAGCGAGAGCTGGGGTTTGCAGGGGCCAATGTAACCTATCGTATATTATAGCTTACAGTTGGCTATATTATACTGTACATTCAGTAAGGATCTGGGCAATCATCTGTGCAAATTGCTCCTGCTTCCTCGATACATTCTCTTAGATTTCATTACAGTCTTCACCTACAGTAACTGTATAACTGATGAATACGACACATCATTTAAATATGTCAACGTAGTGCCGCTAAATAACTACCAGCTTTTGCAATCCAATAGCTTGCTGCATATTTCAAAGTTGCTTTTGTTTTCTTTAAAGTATCTGAAAAAATACTGTTGTATTTAATAGCCTAGTTCATATACAGTGGTGCCTCGCAAGACGAAAAGAATCCGTTCCGCGAGTCTCTTCGTCTTGGGGTTTTTTCGTCTTGCGAAGCAAGCCCATTAGCGGTTTAGCGGATTAGCGCTATTAGCGGCTTAGCGGGCTTAGCGGATCAGCTGATAGCGGCAGCGGCTTGGGAAAAGGGGGAGGAAAAACCCCGCAGGAACTCATAAGACATTTTCATCTTGCGAAGCAAGCCCATAGGAAATTCGTTTTGCGAAGCACCTCCAAAACGGAAAACCCTTTCGTCTAGCGGGTTTTCCGTCTTGCGAGGCATTCGTCTTGCGGGGCACCACTGTACATATCTTTTCTAATATTAGGGCTCCTCTTCTCCAGGTAACCTCTGCAGAGACAAATCACTGCTTAATATATCAAGGAGTGAAGTGACAGAAAGTACTCATGAAAGGTCAAGGAGAGAGAGAGAGAGGCTATTGAATCTACACAGAGGAACTTACTGATTGACCCATTCTATGGAAACAAAGATGCTATTTTGCTTTCCTTTCAGTATTGTTTGTAGTTACAGACAGCTTGCAATTGATTGGGGTGAACACCATGTTGTGTTATGTTTCATCTTGGTTCGTGTCAAACCAGTTAGCATTACAAAGTCCAGCTTTGCATGTGATATGCAATATTTTTCTTACAGCTGTATCTTATGGTGCTTTTGCCGTTTGTTTGTTTTTTATTGAATAAACCACTGTAAACCCTGTGTGCCATTGTAATGGATTGTTCATTTTTGCACCAGGTAAAGTAATTTTTAGCCTCCCAATTCCTGTCCCCCCGACCTATCCTGTATTATGCCCAACCTAACCTTGATTTTCTCAACCAAAGATGGCAACCCTATCTCCAATGCTGAAAGGTGGGGTGCCAGGAACAGGCAATGGAGGCGTCACAGAACTATGGGGTTCTTCCTTCTTTCTCATCTGTGGACATCCACAGGCAGAGGGGTTACATTATGGCTGCCATTATGGCCGCGGGGAACAGGATAACTCCATCCAACTGAACTATGCATGACCACTACAATGTAGGCCTTGAAAAGGGACTTTAAGACTCATCTGTTCCTTTCCGTCACAGTTATTTTGTGCTGCTGTTTTTTTAATTTCTGAAGAAGTATTGGAATTCATTGTCTCTGCTGCACCTTGATTGTGCCCTGTTGTGTATGCTACTTTGTGACTGCAATTCCCTAAATGGCTGCCTATGAATACAGTGTACCTTGGTTTAAGAACAGTCCTGTTTAAGAACGATTTGGTTTACAAAGTCTGCAAAACTGGAAATAGTGTCTCGGTTTGAGAACTTTACCTCGGTCTAAGAACGGAAACCGAACGGTGGAAGGGCACCGGTGGCGGGAGGCCTCATTAGGGAAAGCGCACCTCAGTTTAAGAGCGGTTTTGGTTTAAGAACGGACTTATGAAATGGATTAAGTTCATAAACGGAGGTACCACTGTACTTTAAATAAGTTAAGAAAGGGAAGGAATGATGTGTGACCCCAAGGCTTGTTACTGCATCCTGCCATATGTATAGGCTATATTCATAGGCCCTGTGAGATCCAGCCTGAAGTAGATATTTTCTTCCATAAGCTCTTTCTCTCTGTGCCTTTTCCAACTGGCCTTCAGCATTTTTGCATTAATTACAAGGTTGCCCTTAACTAGCAAAGATTTCCGTTATTCTCCTTCTTCTCACTCTCATGTTTTGTTATGCCTAGTTATATTAAAAGGAAAGCGGTGATATCCCAAGTGGGTTAAAAAATATAGAACTCAAGCAGAAACTTCTTAATGATTATCTTTGACCTTCAGAGATTCAGATCAAACTTATCTATGAGACGAAGCCAATTAATCGTCTGGGAGGATTTATTTTTTTTAAAGCCTACAGGCCTATTAAAATATAAATTGAATGCACTCAGGGTGTGCATTTCAGATCTCGCTTGTATCAAACATGTTAAAATCACAATAGAATGTAGGAAGAACAGTTGAACTCCAGTCATAGCAAACCAGTTTGAGGCTAAAACATTGGGATGTACACTCCTCATTAAAAGGAAACATTTTTATTTTTAGTTCATTACAAAATGCCTGCTCAGTTGTACCGCAAGTGTCAGGAATTCAAACACTGTATCTTACTTCTGTGAACAGGTAAAAGACAGGAATAACGCCACCCCTCCCACACACCCCATGTAGAAAGTGCCAATCATAGGTGCCAACTCCCTGGGACCCTGGGTGCCTGAGTACCCACAAAATTCCCCATGAAAGGGCCAGGCACCCACAAATTTTGGTGCCAGGTCCATGCACACTCCATGGCACCCACAGCCCCAGGCACCCAGGGCCGTGGGGCCAAGCTGTCACTCCTGGTACCAATTCAGGATGCATGTGGTGGTGGGGATAAGTATTTGCATAGTCAATACTGTAAGAACTCCAAAACAGAAAAAGCCTATATTGCCAAGTCCTTGGTACTATGGAATTAACATAAATATGATGTTCCATTGTTGACTTTGGGTGTTTGAGGTGCTCGCTATGCTGTTTTTAATTATTGTTCTGTTGTCGTTTTATTTGAGGACTATAATTGCAGAGCACCCTAAGAGATTTTTAGTGCAGCGAAAAGCAAGGTAAAAATATTTTTTTAAGGACAGAAAGCCTTTATGTGTTTAGCACCATAGGCACAAGGGGTCACTGGTAATTTTTGCACGTGAAAGGATAAGAGATTTGCTAACGCTTGATACTCTAAACTAAAAGCTGCACTCTTTGGACAAGCTTTATGGAGTCATCCTGGCAAAACAAACATACCACATGAACAAGTGATAACCCTTCAAGATTTCACAGGAAAAGGGGGATTTTTCAGGTAAGCAGTCCAATATCATTGGCTTTGAAAGCAACACTAATGGTTAAACAACACGCTGTAATTCAAGAAACACTGAAAGGAAAGTGAAATGCTGCAGAGCAGGAAATATTGGGAGTTTGTTTAAATAACTCTGGAGCATGATGTTTTATAGTGCCAAAAACGAAGCTTTCCTTGGTGAATTTAGTAATGGCTTACCAATGCACTCTTCCTTCTATGACATACAATCTATGTTATAATATTTTAACAGTAAAGGAGGAAATGATGCATCCCTAGCTATTTTACAGCAGACGGGCATCTGCCCTACATAATTAACAAATGTTATGGAGCTTGCACCACAGAAGGAAGAAGCTGGCATCTTTACATGTAGGCTGTCGTTGCCATAATTATATTATAGAAGCAATGCAATGCAAACTACAGAAGGAAATGGGAAAGTGACACAGACAGGCAGAAGAAACATTTGCTGTGAATGCGTTTTTCCAAGTATTTCCACGTTTTTCCAAGGGAAGGGGGTGCATCTAAAGCCTGGAGCAGAGTTCATAAGAGCCCACCTGCATCTGCCCAAAGACCTGTCTGCTTGATCATCCTTCTTCCCACAGAATGAACTTCCAGATGCCTATGGGAAGCCTACACCAAACACAGGACATGGGGCTAATAGCCCCAATCCACTCTTGTTCTCCAGCAGCTAGTCTTCTGCTTCCTAACTCGCCTTTACACTTTACCATCTGGGGCTCCCTGTAGCTTGTGGAACAGGCTCCCCTTGCTCGGTTGCTCTAAATTTATATCATTTAAATTTAAATGAAGCTGGTATAAAGACTAACCGAGGAGAATCCCACCCTAAGCCTAATAGGCTCCACCATATTTGTGTGGAAGCCTCTGGAGGGTTGTGCTAGTTAATGATACAGTCAACTGCTGGTGGTGTGTGTCATCCTAGAAGCCTCCACACACCTGCTGCAGGATCTGCTGTGGCTGAGGAATGTCTCTAGGCCTCATAGCAGATGCTCAGAAGCCTCCATTGTGTTGCACAACATGATGAATTTCGTTTATTCATTTTGCAGATTTATAAGCTGCTTCACAGCCAGAAGCTTACAATAGTATAGCTCTGTCGTAGGTCATAGACTCATAGAATTGTAGGGGTGGGTAGCTGTATAATAAGATAAAATATAAAGATGCAGATTCAAAAAAAAAAAAAAATTATTTAAAAAAACCCCAACCATTTCTACAGTTGTAGAAAATGAATAGGTCACATGTCAGGAAAAGCTGTTTTGAACAAATACATCTTCAGCTGCTACCTATCTGTCTATCTGTCTAGCTATCATCTATCTATCTATCTATCTACAGTATCTATCTATCTATCTATCTATCTATCTATCTATCTATCATCTGTCATCTATCTATCTATCTATCTATCAAATCTATCATCTATATCTATATCTATACAGATAGATAGATAGATAGATAGATAGATAGATAGATAGATATGGGGGATAATATCTAGCTAGCTAGCTAGCTGTCTTAAAAGCTCATATTTACAGGACCGCCTCTCCTAGTATGCCCTGCAGAGGACCTGTGAATAATCATAGTTTTGATGTCCCGGGCATCTAAACATCCAATCAAGGTCCATGAATAATCATAGTTTAGATGTCCCGGGCCCTAAGGAAGTCAGATTATCCTCCACCAGGGGGAGGGCCTTCTCATTGATGGCTCCAACCTAGTGGAATGCTCTGTCCCATGAGACCAGGGCCCTGCAGGATTTAACTTCCTTCCACAGGGCCTGTAAGATAGAGCTATTCCGCCTGGCTTTCAATTTGAACTTAGCCTGATCTTTTATTCCCCTTCCTTCCCTCCCCCTCCCCTTTTATGAAGATTACCCGTTCTGGGATCCCACAGCTAATTCTCCCCTGGTCTCCTTGCTGGCCCAAATAGGACTAATTTAGCCAGCTAGCCCTGGTGAACATCTAATGTTTATTGGATGGATTTTCCTCCTAAATTGATTTTAGAATTCTGAATTTATTGTTATTCATGTTTTATACTATATTTTATGCTGTTTTTGTTGCATCAATTAAGTGTTTTAAATTTGTTGTTTAGCCACCCTGAGCCCGAACCGGGAAGGGTGGGATATAAATAAAAATTTATTTATTTATTTATTTATTTATTTATTTATTATTATTATTATTATTATTATTATTATTATTATTATTATATCTAGTACAACCTAAGCACACTTTTGGGGCATACAACACTCTCTACCATGTCACATCTGATGAGCACAGTTGCTAGGCAGAGATATATGGGGTGAAGCAGTCCTGGAGGTAACCAGGTCTCAAACTGTTTAGGGCTTTAAATGCTAAAAGAAAAACCTTGAACTGTGCTCAGCAGCAAATGGCAGGCAGTGCAGCTGGCCTCCTTGGCCTCCTTTGGGAAGAAAGGAAATGTCACTGACTGGTTGGATGCAGAAAAATTGTGGGGGATACCAGCTGGGTAACTGCCAAGGGAAGAAGGCTCAGAGCCTGGGATCTGGTGGTGGGATGGCAATAAGTGGTCAGAGGGAGAAGAGCGAGGAGGCTGGGAAGAGGCATGTCAGGGAACTGACATCGGAGCTAGAGGCGGAGGGGAGGCTCTCAAATGATGCTGGAGAAGGGCCCAGCAGGGAGAGAGGCAGCTCAGCAGATGGGGAAGCAAATCAGCGCAACACCAGGGATAAAGGGGGGCAGATGGGGGAATCGGCGAGAGGGCTCCAGGACTCTTCACCGGACACCAGCGGGGAGAGCACGGGTCCTCCGCTACCCATGCCCTCCCTGCGCAGAAGGCTTCCGCGCAGGGAGAGTAGGAGGAGACTTGGCGTCAAACAACTTTTATGTTGGAAAAGGTTTAAGAAACGCCCACTGACGGATTCTGCTAGCGACTGAGGCAGCCACGAAGTGAAGGGCTGTCCAGACAGAAAGGTTTAAACAAGGCAACATAGCCAGGAGAGGCGGCAACTTACGCACGAGCAACCCATACTCATTACAAGGCAGTATCAGAAACTGAAGAAGTTACAGGGCTAAGTGAGCTGGGAGAGCCTAAGGCAGAGAGAAGACCAGAGTCAGAAGTTGAGACAGGGGAGGAGGGAGGCAAGAGGTAGAGATGAAGCAGGCTGGTGAAGAATCACGGGTGTCTCCCTTGGTCTTCCAGAAACAGAAGAGGCATGAAAAGGGTGAAGCACAGGTTGGCAAGCACAGTCTCCGATTGTCTGAAAAAAGTCCTGGGGAGGAGGGAACTTAGATAGCTCTGGGGAGGCAGGGACTTTCAATCTCAGCAACTGATCCATGGGGCAAGACCTACTGGGGATGAGCTGCTGTGCTCATTAGGCCTGACACTCCAAGTCTGTGGAGATCGTGTTCTTGCTAATAAAGAGTTAACTCCATCTTTGAACTGTGTGATTACTGATTCACATGTTCCTGTGACAAGCAAAGTATTGAAAAAAATAAGGAGGAGGTGGAGGAGGAGGAGGAGGAGGAGGAGGAGGAGGAGAAGAAGAAGAAGAAGAAGAAGAAGAAGAAGAAGAAGAAGAAGAAGAAGAAGAAGCAGCAGCACACAGAGCAGTAATCCAGTCTTGAGGCACCAATGTTATATCTCAGACTTGTGCCAGAGTCTCCACACATGCACAGCTAGGATAGCTGACAAGAGACACTGGGAGCTTCTAGACCCACCAACAGATTCTAGTAAACAGAGGATCCACTTCAGTAGGAATTCTTCCAAAGCAGGGCCCCCGATCTGTTGTCAAAACCTGGTAAAACTGAATTTTGTTAGGAATCTGATGAATGTTAAGAGTTTTATTTGGGGCTGCTAATAAAATTGTAGGGAAGCTGTAAGAATAAAATTCTTTAACAGTGCTTTACAAATATTGTACCCATGAAAGAATGTGAATTGTGTTCAATGGGACTTTTCCCCAAGTAATTGTGGCTTTTATCTCCAAACAAGTACCTGCCTATGTAGGCTATTTATTCCCTTTATCTTTAGGTGAGCGGTGCTTTTGTTACAGGACCTTTCAAGGCTTTTATAATTCTCTTAACATTACTCTTGCCCCCTTTTTAACTTCTCAAGAGTCCTATGTCATCAAATTACCCTGTTTGTCTTGTCATTAGTGTGAGCTGACAGTTGAGATTGATTAATAAATTCTCAAATTAAGCAGGAAGGCTTTTAAAAGGTCTGGAAAAAAAGTTTAACCTTTTTGTAACCACATAATATCTTGTGGGGCCTGGAGCTGTCTGGGGTATGATCCTAATTGATAATCTATAAAGTTAATAGTTCCCTCTTGGTGGTTTATCTACATCAACTTGAGTGCATGAGGGCTAACACAATAATTGATGTTCTGTTGGCTTTCTATGCTAAAACCAATTTATCCCCTCCACAGCAAAGTCTCCTCTGTTGAAGAATAGCTGTTCTTCTGGGCTATTATGACAAAATAGAATATTTCATATCCTGTGTTCTTTTTTAAGTGTTAGATAAAGTTGTTTACCTGCACAAAATTCAGCAAAGAGTGACATGCAGTGTGGTTCTGTATAAAATCCAAGCCATAAAGCAAATTCTGGTGCCATAGGGCTTAAGTGCACTACTGACAAAGATACTCTGAGTCAGAATGGCAGCCCCACAAGAGCCTTGTGTCACTCTGCTGCCCCCAAACACTCCTGCAGACTTTTTTGTGGGGGTTGTGTTGGAGTGAAACCAAGATGACTATAAGAAAAATCCTAGTACAGATTGAGGCAGGAAGGGTGGGAGCTAAAGAAGGAGGATAGTTCGTTTTGACCTTTCTCAAATCCACTCCTCCCCAACACCAGTTTTCATCATTTCAGCTGTACAATTAAGGGTGGGAGACTCATTTCTGGCATTGGCATCATGGCATCATGGCAACTTCCTAAGATGGTACTGGAACGAGGTAGGGGAGAGCAGCAGCAAGACTGTGACTGCAAGGGCGCACTGGTGGGAGCACCAGATCGACTCCACAGGTGTGACCTCTTAGCCCTGTCCTTGCTGCCACCTAACCTTGTCCCCACACTGCCCAGTACTGTATTTGTAAGCACCAGTGACACTACTATTAAGAAGATAGTGACACAGCACCAACCCACGACACTGGCCACTCCTGACTTGCACGCATGATCTGGGCCCCTCTGTGAGTCTGTGAAGGAGAAGGACGAGAACATCTGCCCTCCATGCAAAAGGTGCCAGGTTCAAGCTCCACATAGGTCTGGAAGAGAACCCTGTAGAGCTGCTTCCAGTCAGTGTTTTGAGCTAAATGGACCAATGTTCCAGCTCTATGTAAGGCAGCTTCTATGTTCCAATGAATTAACCAGAAAGCAAAAAAGAAAAGTGTGTGTGTTTGTAATACTCTGCAGGAGTGCGTTTGAGCTCATTAAGGCCAGAAGTGTGTATTCCCCAGTGCCATCTAGTCTCCGCTGTTTAACACCTAAGCCTACTTAGTTGCATATCAAATATCAAAGAAACTACCTTCTATTATCAACTGGGCATATATTACTTTGAGCCTTCCTACTTGTTTAATTAAGGATTCTGTTCTTAATACGTTTAAGAAAGAGATTTACTTGGTCTGCAAAAAAAAATGCTTCCGTCCTCTTGTCAACTGAAAACGATGAACAATGTGTACTAGGAAAGCATTTATTTGCCCTCCACCACCAAATCAAAGGCATAAAAATAAGGAGCAATGGATTCACAATTGGCTGTGTTTAGAGCTTTCTGACCTGTTTGATATTCAACCATCCAACCATCTTAGGGACTCCAAACTAAATTTGTGTAGGGTTTACTCCTTAGCAGTTTCTTTTCCTGAAGATAACATGCAAGGATCCACAGTATTCATGTTAGATTCTCATAGAAATGCCAGTTCATGCTAGTCAACTCTTAGCTTAGTTTTGGTTTGATGAAGGGAGACGGAGATAATTTTGGGTTGGAATCGCCCAGAGACCTACTCCTCAATGAGAAAGGAAAGAAACTAAGAAAGAGACCAACAAAAGACAAGGAAAAGTGCAAGTATAAACAAGAAGAAGAAGATCTGCAGAAGGGACATGGAAGAGACTTAAGGGCCTCGGACATAAGATTACCAGGTTGATGGACTAGATGGAATGGACAGTAAGGACTGACACGACCCGAGACCAGGAAGAAGAGACGTTGGATGAAGATTGGAAGAAAATTTATAAAGGAAATTTTTTTCTAGGGAATTAGCCTAAAATTAATGAATATTAGGGAAAATGTTGGAATGAAACTATATGACTAGTAGAAATGATATCAGGAGTTATGTATAATCGAGTATTAAGCTTTAAGCTCTAAAGTATTTTTTGGTAAGATAAGGTTAAATAAATTAAGGTAATTTGAATAACAGAATATGGGGAAAAGATGGAAAGGATTTGTTGAGTTAATTAATAGGTTAAATTGTTAAGATAAATTATTTAATAAAAATTGAGAAAGATGGAAAGAATTTGCTGAAATAACTAATCAAACTAGAATACAAAAAGGGAGGTGTGAGGAGGTCAATGAAACAAGCAAATGGAAGTTAAAGATATGTAATATGGGATTTGTGTCTTTTTTTCTTTTTTTATCTTTTTGCTGTATTGTTGCATTGGTTTTTATGTTTTGCTTTTTTTCTTTTTTATGTATTGTAGTGTTGTTTTTATTTTTTTTCTTTCTTTTCTGTAATTCTGAAATTATTAATAAATATTATTTTTTTAAAAAAACAAAAACTCTTAGCTTAGTTTATTAAAGACAGATCAATATTTTCAAGAGTACTTTCAAGACCTAAGTTTTGTTGCTCTTAGAAAAGCTTTTACTGCCCTTCCTTTCCAAACAATGCCTTCAACTTTGGAGGATAACTGTAAAGGGGCTCTCTATGTACAGGAGACAACATGTGCTTGTTGTACTGGGGAGGCAGAAGATGTAGCGCATTACTTTTTGCATTGTTCCTTGTTCCAGAGCTCAGTTGTTCATTGTTCATTGCTTGTTCATTGTTCCAGAGCACGGTTTTTGGAAAACCTTTCGAAAGCAAGAGCTGGTTGGACCCTGACTGATCTGTTGGCAGATCACAATAAAACCATTACAAACAATGTGGCTACCTTTGCAGTAGCAAAGTCTTCTGTCTTGGATTGCAAAGAGGACCATCCACAATAGTATCTTGAGGTTGTTGGTAAATTCTTAGTGTCAGTCACATATTATTAGTGTTACAGTTATTGCTATGTTTTGTCCTTGTTTCCCTAGTGTTTGTCCTAGCAGGAATTTGCTGTGGGTTAAACCACAGAGCCTAGGACTTGCCGATCAGAAGGTCGCGGTTCGAATCCCCATGATGGGGTGAGCTCCCGTTGCACGGTCCCTGCTCCTGCCAACCTAGCAGTTCAAAAGCATGTCAAAGTGCAAGTAGATAAATAGGTACCGCTCCGGTGGGAAGGTAAACAGCGTTTCCATGCACTGCTCTGGTTCGCCAGAAGCGGCTTAGTCATGCTGGCCACATGACCCAGAAGCTGTATGCTGGCTCCCTCAGCCAATAAAGCGAGATGAGTGCCGCAACCCCAGAGTTGGCCACGACTGGACCTAATGGTCAGGGGTTCCTTTACCTTTACCAGCCTGTGATGGTAGGCACTTGTACTATTCCAGTGTTTTGTAATGACCATTGAATCACACACAAATAAAACGAATAAAATCAGAATTATTTATTGTGATCTGCCAATCAGTATTATAAATCTTAGTAAAATAAATGCATTGATCATACTGTACAAAAGTCTTCTGCAAAGTTATGGGAGGAAAGTTTGGTGCTGAACAATGAAATATAAGCCACCACAACAGACTGAGACCTAATTATGTAATAACTGATACACAAATATACTTCTAAATCTTTCCATATTTTATAAGCTTGGTTTAAAAGGCACAGAAGTGTTTAGGTTAAAAGCACTTTGACTTCAAAATAACATGTTCCTTATTTAGCATTTGGTGAACACTGTAGTGTGGAATAGCAAATTACTTTGAAATGGCTGCAGCTAGTGAATTGCTACCTCTGAGTTATGTGATTTATTTTTAAGATGAAGGTCTATTATTATCATAGCACCGTTCACACTTTTGTAGTTAAGGCTGTGTTAGTATTCTCATTACATACCTTGTTTATTTATAAGGCTGAATTATTTTATGGGGGCAGAAGGGGGTATGGAAGAATTTAAACACTGAATATTTTTGTATTTAAGGTATGCAACAGAGAGGAAGCCACTGCTTTACTGTTACTGTGCAATGATGACATTCTGAGGGCTACAACTCCTTTCTACTTAGGATCCGCTTCTAAACTGCCGGTTTTTAACACAGCACAGGGCAGCCCAGCAAACCTGTTCAAGACATCATTTGGTAAAGGAGTCCCCTTTGGTAGTATACCTAACAAGATTGAGGCAGAGTAGAATTCAAAGGGAAGATGTTATAAGGAGCAGGAAATCAGGACAATTTGGTGAAGCATTTCTGTAGCATTGAAACATACATATACATTCATCTAGTTCAACAATTTGCAATGCAGGAGCACACAGCTGTCCCATGCAGGGATCGAACTTGCGATCTTGCTGTTATCAGCACCATGCTCCAACCAACTGAGCCATTCATGCATGTGTTTTCGATCATTCATTTTTGCTCCTCGTCTGACCCACCACTGGCATGTGGCCCCAAAAGCTTGACCAGAAGGTCTGGAAAGCGGTTCCTCATCCCAGGCTGAAACAATCCACTTCCTTCTCAAGCTATTCCTAAATTCTGTGCATCAATAAGATATGGACACTCAACACAGAAAGATGGAACCCTATGCATAATCTGAAAGAACAAACTGATCCACAGAATAATTAACCTAAAGGACAGACTACTTCCCTTGAAGAGTCAAGATTTATGGGTGTTGTGCTGTAGGCAATAAATCTATGCATGCTACCAGATCTCATTTCACGTTCTTTATTATCTGTGAATTTCCACAGCATTTATATCCTCTACAAGCTCATTATTCAGTTATGACAGCATATAGTTTCACAAATCCTTATTATTAGGCCAGAAGGGACCATGATCGTGTCTGATCCTAAGCTTTTGTGTGTGACATTCTCAATTTTCAGGGAGCATGTAGGACCAGTCAGGGGGCACACAATGAATGCATTAAGAGCAGGCCTTTAGCAACATGTGGAATGGCTCCTTTAGTAATTATAGCTGCCTTCTGTTCTCATTTCTGCCAGATTCTTCACCTTCTCAAGCAACAGAGAATGCAGAAAGCCTCCGGCAATTACTATTGTCATGTAAATGCACAACACGAGGTAGAGCAATAAATGTGTGTGGCTTAAAAATAGCAATTGCTAGGAATCAGAGCCGTAGCATTTCTTATTTGGTCACTAAACTCAGTCATCGCCATATGTAAGAAGGTAGAACCCTTACATTTTCTCCTACAGATTAGCTAAAATTACAATAATTCTAATACAGTGTGGAAATTCAGAACCCTAAGAAATACCTTGCAAGATTAGTCTGGTTATCAGCTCTTCTAGTTGCTAGTGGTTTACAAATCAAAATCATTCCTCCTGGCCCAGTTGTGTGAGTCAGGGATAGGGAACCTATGGCCTTCCAGAGGTTGTTGGACAACAACTCTCATCAGCATGGTGGCCACGTTGGGTGGAGATGAAGGGAGTTGCAGTCTGACAGCATCTGGAAGGCCACACCTTTCCCATCTGTGATACAAGACCAGCTGCCCCATAAAACAGATGAAGACAAGCAAAAAACAAGAACTCAGTATCCTTTGTCCCTGGATTAGCTCTGACTGAGTTGTTTCCCTTCTAGAGCTCCCCTCTTCCCCTGCATTCAGAAGAGGAAACAAATATTCACGGTTGGTAGGAAGGCATTTGCTGTTGTCTTTTGTCTGTGTTTATCTTTCTTTTGGAGTTCAGTATTTTAGAATTCTGTATTTCACCCTACTCTCTTCTTTCTCCTTCCCTCCAGTGTTTTCTCCCCCTTGGACCAATTTCTTTCATATATATTTTTAAATTAAATGCACACATTTTTGCGGAACATTTTATGAACATTGTGAGATGCTTTGGGGACTGCTGTAAAAAAGCAGGATACAAATCAAATCTAAATTGTTAACTAATACACACCCTGGGTCTGTGTTGCTCCGTCTGCCTGTCTGGCCCTGATATAAAAGAGGTACCTGATGGTAACAATTTTTCAGGGACCCTTCAGTGTCACTAGAGATGAATGGATCCGTGCATTTCTGTCTGTGTCAGTCTTTTAGATATATAATTTAAGTTTTCATATAAAACAACAAAAATAAACAAGCTCGTCACTTTAATAATACAATAATGGAAACCACTATTGTTGGCATCCATCTGCTTTGGGAGACAATGGAGGGGTGTGCCTTTCGGGGGGTGAGGTCAAACTGTTGGAAGGTTGCAGCTCCTGCTGTGGCTGTAGGGACCGATGCAGGAGAGATATGTTTTGTTGCAGCTGGGGCAGATGAAGGTGTCCGGTTGTGCTGTTGCAGATGCACCATGGCGTTTCTTCTCTTTGTGCTCTTCCCAGCGGCCATTCCTCCTCTGGTCACTGCTATGGATACACAACTTGATTGCCTGTCTCCAGGAAGTGCGGTCATCTGCAAGGGATTCCTATGTGGCAGGGCTGATGTTGCCAGCTTTCATGACGCTTTTGCAGACATCTTTGTAGCACAGTGGGTCTGCCAATGGGCTTGGTGCCTGAAGACAGCTCCCTGAAGAGCACATCCTTGGGGATCCTGCCTGTTGGCTATTTGCAGTATAGTAACGCTGCAGAGCTTGCTAGGGAGACCATGCATTAAAAAGGGACTCAAAAATAACTTAAACAAGGTTTTAATTACAAAAACAAAAACTCCTTATACACTAAATACATCAACAAACAAACATGACCCAACCACCAACCCATCCCCCAGGGTAATGGGAGAGCTAGGTGCTGCTCCTTATATACTACACCCAATTGCCAACACAGCTTAATCAATACAACTCAGCAGCACCTGCTATGTTTCACAGCTGTAAAGCTGGGTCTCGTTATCTTGCTCTGGCCCCTTAAAGGCATACACATCGGGTGGAACAGTGATGAACCTTTACATTTAAAGAAACCATTCAACACTGCCACCTTCCATTCTGTGGACATAGAATCATAGAATCATAGAATCATAGAGTTGGAAGAGACCACAAGGGCCATCGAGTCCAACCCCCTGCCAAGCAGGAAACACCATCAGAGCACTCCTGACATATGGTTGTCAAGCCTCTGCTTAAAGACCTCCAAAGAAGGAGACTCCACCACACTCCTTGGCAGCAAATTCCACTGTCAAACAGCTCTTACTGTCAGGAAGTTCTTCCTAATGTTTAGGTGGAATCTTCTTTCTTGTAGTTTGGATCCATTGCTCCATGTCCGCTGCTCTGGAGCAGCAGAAAACAACCTTTCTCCCTCCTCTAGGTGACATCCTTTTATATATTTGAACATGGCTATCATATCACCCCTTAACCTCCTCTTCTCCAGGCTAAACATGCCCAGCTCCCTTAGCCGTTCCTCATAAGGCATCGTTTCCAGGCCTTTGACCATTTTGGTTGCCCTCCTCTGGACACGTTCCAGTTTGTCAGTGTCCTTCTTGAACTGTGGTGCCCAGAACTGGACACAGTACTCCAGGTGAGGTCTGACCAGAGCAGAATACAGTGGCACTATTACTTCCCTTGATCTAGATGCTATACTCCTATTGATGCAGCCCAGAATTGCATTGGCTTTTTTAGCTGCCACGTCACACTGTTGGCTCATGTCAAGTTTGTGGTCAACTAAGACTCCTAGATCCTTTTCACATGTACTGCTCTCAAGCCAGGTGTCACCCATCTTGTATTTGTGCCTCTCATTGTTTTTGCCCAAGTGCAATACTTTACATTTCTCCCTGTTAAAATTCATCTTGTTTGTTTTGGCCCAGTTCTCTAATCTGTCAAGGTCGTTTTGAAGTGTGATCCTGTCCTCTGGGGTGTTAGCCACCCCTCCCAGTTTGGTGTCATCTGCAAATTTGATCAGGATGCCCTTGAGTCCATCATCCAAGTCGTTGATAAAGATGTTGAATAAGACCGGGCCCAAGACAGAACCCTGTGGCACCCCACTAGTCACTCTTCTCCAGGATGAAGAGGAACCATTGATGAGCACCCTTTGGGTTCGGTCAGTCAGCCAGTTACAAATCCACTGAGTGGTAGCATAGTCAAGACCGCATTTTACCAGCTTCTTTACAAGAATATCATGGGGCACCTTGTCAAATGCCTTGCTGAAATCAAGGTAGGCTACATCCACTGCGTTCCCTTCATCTACCAGGCTTGTAATTCTGCCAACAAATGAGATCAGGTTAGTCTGACATGACTTATTTTTCAGAAATCCATGCTGACTATTGGTGATCACAGCATTCCTTTCTAGGTGCTCACAGACTGTTTGCTTAATGATCTGCTCCAGAATCTTCCCTGGTATTGATGTCAGACTGACTGGGCGGTAATTATTTGGGTCCTCTCTTTTCCCCTTTCTGAAAATAGGGACAACATTTGCCCTCCTCCAGTCTGCCGGGACTTCGCCTGTTCTCCAGGAATTCTCAAAGATGACTGCCAGTGGTTCTGAGATCACATCTGCCAGTTCTTTTAATACAGTGAACATGAACAAGCCAGAACAGACATCGCTGAAACATCGGAAATGTGGACTTGAAAGAGCACGTCTTTGTTGGGAATTCTGTCCTGCTGTGTGAAACTGAAAATCTTCCTGATGCAGTGCACATGGAAGGCATTGAGACAAAAGAGTTCAACAGTTATTGGGAAAAACATCCTTCCAGAATGAGGCAGAGAGCAGCAGCGGTCTCTGATTCTGGTGGTTCTGAGTAGCAAAGCAAGTTAAGGGGCACCAGATATTAACATAACTATCCATGCAGGATATCTTCTCTATTTTTCCTACATACAGTGCATAGCTGTCAAGTGTCCCTTATTTGAAGGGACAGTCCCTTATTCCAGCGCCATGTCCCGCTGCTGTCCCTTATTGATGGATGTCCCTTAAATGTCCCTTAAATGATGTCCCTTAAATTTCAAAGGAAGCAGCTCCTCTCCCTCCCTCCCTGCCGGCCAGGGAGGACAGAGGCTCCAACTGTGTTGCTTGGCTGTGTTGCTCACCCAATAAGAAGTCTAAGAACGAAAGGGGGGTGGAGCTTGCATGCCTTGTGTGTGGCTAGCTAATGCAAACTGAGGGGGTTTTTGAATGCTGGACGCCATTTTGTTGCATGTGCTGCTGCAAACTTTGCAGTGCAAAGCCAGGCCAGGGAGCCATCTTAAGTTGAGGCTGCATAGGCCTTGTGGTGCATGTGATTCAGATTCTATTCAGTTGAACCTCTGGTTACAAAGTTGGTTGGAAAGTGTTCTCGAAGCTACCAGCATGAGTTTGACCAGACTGCAGGAGGACAGGAAGACTGGAGTGCCTGGAACAGGTGAGGCTGCAGGTCCCTTATTTTGGCTGCTGGTCCCTTATTTTCAAGGCTGCTGGTCCCTTATTTTCAAATCTGTAAGTTGACAGCTATGATACAGTGGCACCTTAGGTTAAGAACTTAATTCGTTCTGG